TTGAAAATGAGTCTGCGGAGGCAGAGGTTCCAGAAGCCATGGAAGCTCCAGAGCCTGTGAAGGCAGAGACTCTAGAGGCTGTGGAGGCTCCAGTTGAAAAAGAGTCTGCGGAGGCAGAGATTCCAGAAGCCATGTAAGCTCCAGAGCTTGTGGAGGCAGAGACTCCAGAGGTTTTGGAGGCTACAGTCGAAAAGGAGTCTGTTGAGGCAGATGTTCCAGAAGCCACGGAGCCGCCAAGGAAGCGGGCCATGGAGCCGCCTCCAAAAAAGAAGCAGGCTATGGAGCCGCTTCCAGAAAGAAATCAAGCTATGGAGCCACCAAAGAAGTATGTTGTGGAGCCGCCTCCACAATAGAAGTAGACTATAGAGCCGCTTCCAAAAAGAAGGCAAGCTGCAGAGCCGCTAAAGAAGCAGGCTATGGAGCCGCTAAGGAAGCAGGTTGTGGAGCCGCTTCCAGAAAGAAAGCAAGCCATGGAGCCACCTCCAAAAAAGAACCAGGCTATAAAGCCACTTCCAGAAAGAAAGCAGGTTGCAGAGCCGCTAAGGAAGCAGGCTGTGAAGCCGCTAAGGAAGCAGACCATGGAGCCGCCTCCAAAAAAGAAGCAGACTATTGAGCCGCTTCTAGAAAGAAATCACGCTATGGAGCCACCAAAGAAGTAGGTCATGAAGCTGCCTCCAAAAAAGAAGCAGGCTATGGAGCCGCTTCCAAAAAGAAAGCAGGCTGCAGAGCAGCTAAGGAAGTAGGCTATGGGGGCGCTAAGGAAGCAGGCCATGGAGCCGCCTTAAAAAAAGAAACAAGTTGTAGAGCCGCTTCCAGAAAGGAAGCAGGCAATGGAGGCGCCAATGAAGCAGGCTGTGGAGCCACTTTCAGAGATAAAACAGGCTGTGGAACCGATTTCAGAGAAAAAGGAGGTTGTGGATCCGCTTCAAGAAAAGAAGCAGGCTATGGAGCCGCTTCCAGAAAGAAAGCAAGTCATGGAGCTACCAAGGAAGCAAGTTGTGAAGCCGCTTTCAGAGAGAATGGAGGCTGTGGATCCGTTTTCAGAAAGGAAGCACAGAGAAAAAGCATGTTGTGGAGCCGCTTCAAGAAATAAAGCAAGCTGTGGAACCGCTAAGGAAACAAGTTCTGGAGCCGCTTTCAGAAAGGAAGCAGGTTGTGGAGCCACTTCCAGAAAGAAAGTAGGTTGTGGAGCCGCTAAGGAAACAAGTTCTGGAGCCGCTTTCAGAAAGGAAGCAGGTTGTGGAGCCACTTCCAGAAAGAAAGTAGGTTGTGGAGCCGCTAAGGAAACAAGTTCTGGAGCCGCTTTCAAAAAGGAAGCAGGTTGTGGAGCCACTTCCAGAAAGAAAGTAGGTTGTGGAGCCGCTAAGGAACCAGGCTATGGAGTCTTTTCCTAAAAGGAAACAAGTAGAGGAGCCTCCGGAAGAAGTTCAAGAGTTAGAGGAATGATGTGGCAACGATGATAGAATTTAAGAGCCGTTAAGGAACCAGGCTATGGAGCCTTTTCCTAAAAGGAAACAAGTAGAGGAGCCTCCGGAAGAAGTTCAAGAGTTAGAGGAATGATGTGGCAACGATGATAGAATTTAAGACCCACTAAGGAATCAGGCTATGGAGCCTTTTCCTAAAAGGAAACTAGTAGAGGAGCCTCCGGAAGAAGTTCAAGAGTTAGAGTCGTTGATGAAGACCCTATCTTCAAATGGAATGATGTGGCAACGATAATAGAATTTAAGAGGCTCGGGCCTGGCCAAAACTAACATGTCAAGCCTTTGCACATTCGGGTCTCAATGAATGGCTATCTGCTTGACCAAGTTCTGGTGGATAGTGGAGCTTCTGTGAATGTGTTGCCAATTGAGACCCTATGGAAGTTCGGAAAGACTAGTGACGATTTGATTTCTACATTTGTACCGCTTACCGATTTTGTGGGAAATTCTTACAAACCGGCAGGTATGATCACTTTGAATGTGCGGATGGGGACAAAGGAAATATCATTAAATTTCATGGTGATTGATAGTAGGCCATTCTATTCGGCTCTCTTGGGACGGAATTGGATTTATGCATGCGAGTGTGTGCCTTCGACACTCCATAAAACATTGATGTTTTGGGATGGAAAATAAGCCCAAGAAGTGAAGGCCGAGGAGGATCCCTTGTCGACAGAAGTGACCACAGTTGATTCAAGTGAACGTCTCAAAGCAAAAGGACATGGGCTCAATAGAAGCAATCACCCAGCCCTTTTGAGGAGGGCATTGTTGGACATGGGTCCAAAAGCACCTGAACGTGAAGGAGACTCAAAGATAAAAGTGGAGCCAAAGCTCATTGGCCATAGAGCCGCTCAACAGCAATGGAGCTTCAAGCCTCGCAGCCAAAGACTATTGCCTCCACAGAGCCGAAGGCAACAGTTTTCATTGGATTGTGGTGCTTCCACAGGGCCGAAAGCAGCACCCTCCATGGAACTTAGGGCAGCAACTCCTTGGACTATGGCGCCTCCATCCTGGAACAATGTTTCCATAAGGCCAGAAAGTGTTATCCTCATTGGGTTGAAAACAATTACCTCTATTGGACTGTGGTGCTTCCACAAAGGAAAAGAAGGTTGCTTCCACAAGATATAAAGCAACAGCTTCCACAGATCATGGGATAACTACCTCCATTGGCCCTGGGTTAAATATTTCGTACTTAACATTAGTGGAGGGCCTATGCACTTTTATACTTTATTTAAAAAGCTCTATGTAACAAGCCAACAAGAGGAAAACCGAAGATTCCACTTAACACGAGGCTGTTGAGGATACATCCCATGGACCGGCTAGGAGTACGATGGAAACAAGTTGGAGTAAGCGGAAGATCTGGTCCAGAGGCAATGGAAGAAGTTTAGAGCAAGTGGAACCCGGTCCAGAGGCAATGAAAGCGGTTGGGAACTGATAGAACGAGATTACCAGGTGGTTAGGAGCTGATGGAATGAGGTTACCAGGAAGCTGATGGAAGGAGGTTACAGACAGTTGGAGATAGTAGTGGGAGGTTACCAGGCGGTTGAGAGTGGTGGAGGAATAATTGGAACTGCCTTTTTAGTGGGAAGAGGCGGTTATTTTATCTTAGGATTAAAACGAGGAAAAAACACATTTCACAAGAAGATGAACTTGTATTTTTCTCTATTTTCTTTTAATTTTTTAGTTTCGTTATGCATTTTAATTCGAATTACATGTTTTTTTTATTCGCTTTCCAGTAGATTTATCTGAGTTTTAGTAGATGTTAGTTTAAATCCATCGAAATTGATCGTTTAGGCTCGAAGTCTCGCTTAGGCTCGAAGCCATGCAGGCTCCACCGAAAGAGCCGCCCAAAATCTGACAGACAGGATCTTTGGAGTACTTACGGAACCCACACCGACAAATCGACGAACGGTTTTGGAATCTCCAAATTTTAAGATCCAACAGATGGAATAGCCCTTTGTAAAATTCAATCTAATATATAAATCTAATTTTTCAAAGGTATAAATTCTGTCGCAAAATGCGTTTTTCATTTATTTGAAATTATTGTTTGGAATTAATTTCGCAAAAAATTCATTGTAAAATAATTTATAAAAAGTACTTCATGAAAAAATACAAGCATTATGATAAGCACCATAACTAAATAGACAAATAAAATTATACAATAAAAGTAAAAAGGTGATCCCAATGAATTTCCTTTGAAATTTCTATCTAATTGAATATCCTTTCTCCCATCATCGCTATCCATATAAACACTTTTTTGGAACGGTCTTTCAACTCCCATCATTCTATTAAGCTGATCGTGTGTCAACTATTGATAATTTATTACTTTGTGACCCATGTATTCAGATAAGCAGTTACAACGGGCATTGCAAATTAAACCGCTAGTGCTTGGGCACATTTTGATCAACCGTCCTGAAACGGACCAAATTTATTTGAATTCGGCTACTGCAGTTCAAATGTGCTTCAGCTTTAGTTACTCAAACGTTTGTTCGGGGCTGAAAATGGGCTGATCAATCCTGAGCCCTCCGCCTATAGTGGCCCCTCTTGAACATTTCAACTTTATGGTAAACCTTAGAGCATCTTCAATGACAATATTTTTGTAATAGAGATCTCGCCAAGTACATTATATTTATTTTTTTATTTTTTAAAAAAGAGAGATTTCATCTCCCTGGCATCAAATGTCTTACTTTTGTTATGTGCCCTATCATAATTTAGACACATGACATATTATATGATATATATATTATATTTATATATATATTTTTTTTATTTTATTTTAAGTTTGTAATATTTTTATAATTGATAAAATTTTGTACTACAAAATGCTACCAATATTAAATATATTTTTATTAATTAAAAATTTAAAATATATAAATACAAATATTATTTAATTCTATCATTCAAATTAATATTACCAAAAATAATTCAATTTATTGAATAAATATAATTATAAATTTTAACACAATTAAATAATACAAAGGAGAATAAAAATTATGTTTATTGTGAGTATAAAATATACTCGTTCGGACTCTAAGAGTCTTATTTACTTTTACGTGTTGATATTTGAATATTAATTTTTATATCAAAACATAGTATAAATTTTTTTAAAAAAATTACAAAAATACTTCCATCAGTGTCTTACTATGTAAATGCAACCTTAGAGGGAAAAGGGAGTAAAATATTGTCTCTGCTATTACGTGGAGATAGAAAGTGACGATGAGGTAAAAAATAGTAAAAATATTTAAATGTATCTCCTTGAGAATGGTCTTAAATTACAAAATTAGGACTTACAGAATCTCCATAATTTTTATTTTTAATTTTTAAAAATAATTATATAGTTTAATTATATTTTAATATTAATTTATAATTATTTTTATTATATAATTATTATTATTGATATATTTTTAATTTATCTTAATAATATTTTTTTCAAATTTTTATACTTAGATAGACAATTTTATTTAAAAAGAAAAAGAAAGCAAAAAAGAGAGAGAACAGAAAAGAAGATGGACCAAAATTTTCTTCGTCACTTCATTACCTAATTTCATCAAATATAGGCTATATATCCACTTGCGGAAGCGAAAAGCGCAACGCAAGCTCAAGTACTGTAAGTATGGATGCCTCAAGCAGCAGCTTCGGCGTCAAAGCTAGGACGGCGGCTGAACTCCAATCTGTCAAGCGCAAATCGGGCAAAACTTACGCTCAGATAGCGGAGGAGACTGGCTTGACAAATGTGTACGTGGCTCAGCTCCTCAAGCGGCAAGCGCAGCTCAAGCAGGATGCTGTCCCTCTTCTACGGGCAGCCCTTCCAGGGCTCACTGATGAGCTTCTCCATGAGATGATGCAGGCGCCCTTGCGTTCCTATGATCCCAACTTAATTCAGGAGCCTACTGTCTACAGGTCATTTTTGGTTTGTACTGTTCTGTTGTTTTATCTCCTTGCTCGTTTTCCTCTTCACTAGTTGGAAATGCGTTCTGCGTATTTTCTGTTGATTATTTATTATTACTTTTCTGGGTTTAAGGGTTTGTTTGGGGGTTTGGATTTTGATTTGAGATTTGAATAGTAAAAATTTTGAATTTGAATAGTTGTATGATGATGACGTGATGTTTTGAATGTAAAATTGATTTTTAGTATAATATAAAAAATGAAAAATAGGTGTTTGATTTGATGTTTTTGAGGGGAAAATTTTGTATAAATAGTGAAATCTCTTGCAAATCCATCAAACGAACACACCCTCTACTTTTGATGAACTTTTCTTACCCTCTCAAAGGCATGGTTAATCGTGCTAATCGTTCATTAATGGAATTGGTGTAAGTATAATTTTTGGAATTGGTAGTGGTTAATGAAATTGTTCTCTTAATATCTACATATTTAAGGAAAAGTTGAATTCCCCGTCAGGCCTTCCCCCTCTGGTTTTATTTATGGGGCACTGATTTGTTGTATGGTATGAAAAAAATAACTGCTGAAAGCAAAAGTTGATTCTTATCAAGTAGTGATACCGGATCTAATTGATTTGCCTTAGATAGTCTGATCAACCAGCTAATATGATTGTTTCTTTATAAATTCTCATGTTTAAAGCAGTGTGATACTTGTTTTCAGATTGAACGAAGCAGTTATGCACTTTGGGGAGAGTATCAAGGAAATAATTAATGAAGAATTTGGCGATGGCATGTAAGGCTCTTCTTCCCATTTTCTGTAGTTCAAGGTTCTTACATTTTTATTTTTTATTTTATACATATTTGCTATGCCATTTCCCAAAGTCTGTGAAGATCACATGATTATTTGTTTAGACAGTGAGGTTGGTAGCTTCATTCTCAAGAGATGTGTTTCTCTGCTAGGAAATTTTGTTATGGTTCCTTATCTGAGAGAATTGTTCAAAAAGTGTCCTTCACATACGAATTTCATGTCCTCTTGATTTGTGGGGTTAAAAATCATGAAACCTATATCCCAAATTTGCCCAAGAAGCATGCCATTTTAGTTCGATAATTTATTCAAATTGAAACATAAGTAACACTAATGCAGCATGCAGGCTGATGATGTCATATTTAACAAAACACTTCGTAAGAAAAAAGAACAATTGAAAAGCTTGAAGTACTTTTCTGTCCTCTTCAAGGTCCTCATACAAATATGATGAGAAAATTGAGAATGAATCCGAATTCCAAAATTTTTTAAGTTTGTCTACAGTACTCTTGTTTTATCACTCTGAAAAAGGAGATAAGATCACTATTGCCTGTTAGCTTGTTGTTTGGGTACTACATTGAGGAGCAAAACTTTACAAAAACCTAATTGGTTTCTTTTAATACCCCCTATCTTGTATGATGCCAATTATAAAGTTTTAGATCATGTAAACATTGTCAAACACTCTATCATGTGTAATAATAGGTAAATACAAATTGTCTTTTTTTTTTGTTAGCTAATATCACCTTATTGTTAAATGTTTATCACTTCTATGTTATATCTTTATTTTATTGAAGGAATCCCATTCCTATTCATTAGGAACTTTAAACCAATACAGTAAAAAATAAAAACTAAAATGACATCTTCAACGGGAGTCCACAAGTATATTTATGTGATTTTCTAGTTATTTTAAGTTAAAATGCAAGAATCGAAACAAGAAAACCCTACCACCAATTATCCTACAAAGCATCTGGATTCATTTCGAGCTTTGTTGTAATACCCTATTACTGTACTCAACTTACACTGGAATATCACTACCACGTTGTTCTGTAAGGTTTGTACTTTACCCAAAAAGATCACATGATATTCCATTAACACTATATCCAAATCAATCAGTTTTTAAAATGCTAAGGGTGTGCTTGGTTTGTTTTTTGTATTAAATAGTGATTTGATGTCATATTTTGTAAGAAAAAAAACGGTGGGAAGTGCATAGTAAAGAAACTGAAAAGTCTCTTAAAAAGAAAATAGCCAAATAGCTTACAGAACATACATTGAAGGAAAAAGTGGTTATGGTGAGATTTAAAGCATCTTTTAGTTCAGGAAAAATAATCACATGAGGTTGGCTATTGACTCACAAAAAATCCCCGTCTAAATGCAGAGAAAATCCCATTTTGCAGAAGGGCCATACGAACTTAAAATTTAAACATTTTATGATGATTAGCAACAATGACTAAGAAAGTAAATAACATATAAGCATTTTTAAAGGATTAAAATTCAATTACACAGCCAAATGATTTTAAAGTGGAACCATACTCATCCAGCTAAATCCAATGAGCTCAATGATTAATGGAATCAGAGATCCAAGATCCTTCATCTCAAACTGATTAAGGAACTGTTAAGCAAATCTTATTATTATTATTATTATTATAATAATAATTATTATTATTATTATTATTATTATTATTTTAAATCATTTTCTTGGATATAGTTGAGTTAGTCAAGGAAAACCTTCATTTAACTCTATTCCAAGATGGTTATTTAACTTGGAATTCTATCCTAAATTACTAGTACAACCCACTCAAGATAATTTAACAAATGAAGTTATGTCAAACACTAACTTAGATGGAAAATGCCAATCCCCAGAATATACCAAAGGCTTAGATCAATTAAGGGTGTCATTCTACCTTCACCACCTCACTTAATCATGCTTTTTTTATCCTTAGCATTATCAAGAACAAGATGGGCAAACAATAAATCAGTACATACATGTTATCACCAATTGACTGTATAGTTTAGATAGAGCTATATTAGGATTAAATTATTAGAGTTTATCAATTGTCTGTGGATAGACTTCTAGGTGTATATATATATGTAACCTGACTTCTGTCAATAGGAAATATCTATTCTCAAATTACAGGCTTCCGATTTTCTTCGCTCAACAGCGGTTTTGGACTCAACCACCCATAAGAATTCCATTTGTCAACACCCAAAAATTCCCTATATAACCATGGTGTGAAACCTGCTTTCCAACCCCATGAAAGCAGTACACATGTTGACAATCCCAGTTAATAACCAAATTTTTATCCAGGTTCAACAAAATTCCCATAAACATGGAATTTAAAATAGTACATAATCTTTCCAATTGCTTAACTTATGTAGTTTTATTGTCTCTTACTCTCTTATGTCTGTTTTTTTGCACATTTTTGGTGAATTGATTTGTTATATCTATATATGACAAGAGATCTTTTAACCACATATTCCGTGCCATAACAATATTTCATTTTGATTTTCTACTTATCTTTTTCTGTGAATTTGATAACCTTTATATTTATTTCTCTTATGTGGTGACTCTAATGTCTAGCATGTCAGCGATTGACTTCTATTGCTCTGTGGATAAAGTTAAAGGTGTGGATGGAAAAGACCGTGTTGTTATAACATTTGATGGGAAGTATTTGCCATACACCGAGCAGGTTAGCAGTCCATATTGCCATTTCACACGTGGTTCCTTATCTTGAAGCAGCTTGTTACTCTGACATGATGAAAAGAGAAGATTTACTGCATTCATAAAGCAATGAAACGACATGATGTAATTTTTATAATTTGACTTGGTTCAAAAAATAAATCCATGAAATATTCAAGGTCTCATTTGGATTAAATAATTTAGGGTTTAAAGAAGAATTTTTTAAATCATTTGAAACGCCTCAAAATAAGAAGAGATTTTAAATCCATCCCAAGAACTATAATTATATAAATCTGAATAATATTAGGGGGATTCCTCATGTTGTAATATATAGCAGCCATGACAACATTATTTTTTATGATATGTTTTCACGAGGATATCAGTTAGTATGTCAAAAGATTCTTCACACAAGAAATGCTGGGAAACTGTCTATCTTATCTTCGTGAATGCATGGTGGTTATGCAATATGTACTTAACATTTAGATACTGAAACGTTTTGTTTTGGGATTTTTATTTTTTATTATTACCATGTTATTTTACTATCATTAATGTTAGTAAGGTGATAAGTAACTGTGATTGGCATCTGCAAGCTGCTCTGTGTTACTGTTTTTGCCTCTGTTTTTCTGTGCAGAAAACTGAACATATGGCATCAAGGTTGAGAACCCAAGACAACCAAGACAGAAAACCATAGTGAACTTCACCCTGCTGTTGCTTCTTGTGTTGAATGCATGCTGTTTTGTGCGCTACTAGTATTTCCTACTCATAGTATCTGTATTGTACTCCGAGGAACTCCATAGAAATTCATAGTTTGTCTGATTAAATAAATGAGGTTGTGATCATCTAGTTGTAAACAAATTATTATGTTTGTTGCAATGATTTCAGGTAGGCATGCCCTGTCGGACAGTCATATCAGTATCATTTGGATGCAAGTTTGATTAAGTTCCTTGTAAGTATTTCTTCTGCAAGTCAAAACTTGGGGAAGCTGCTAAATTAGTAATTATTTTTCAAAAGTATATAATTTTATATATCGTGAGGAATATTTTATAGAGATTACTTATGACTTATTTTAGAAATAGAGAAGTATATATGGTAAATATATCAAATCATATCATATCAAATGTAAATTATGTAAGGAAGCAAATTATGTGAGAGATGCTATCACCCTATCATATAATCTCAAATGTAAATTATGTAGTCCCGTAAGGAATGACCTGGTGGTATGGGTGTTGGACTTGTGACCATGAGGTCACATGTTTAATTGGACCAAATTGTATGTTATTTGCAATTTGGTCCAATCGTGCCAAATTAGAATAAAAAAAGTAATTTTAATTTTTCTTGTTTTATTTTTTAAACAAATGTCACATCAGCCACAGGGAAAATGACACGTCGTGGTACACATCTGCGCCGGCCATGTACACGTAGGCAATGGCGATTCCACGTCTGCGCCCGTGCCCGGCACGTGACATTTTCCAATGACGGAGGACATAAATAAGGCATTCGGAACACTTACTGTCCTACTTTGCGAAACCGGAAAAAAAAAATGTCTAAAAATGATAATTTGAGATACATAATGGATAATTTTTGCAATTTTTTCTATTTTTAATGTCAAGTACAATGATGCAAAAGGTAAATATAAACTTATTAAGTGGTCCGATGAAGCATAATATAGTAAACGATAATGACGATATTTATGATAATAATACATATATATATATATACAAAAGAATTTACATAAACTGACCAAATGAAAGAACAAACAGACGAAGAAAACCCTATGGAAAGAAATGGAGAAAGAAAAATATTTAGTGATTCGATTTTCATTCCGACTTCGGCATTGTATTCCTCGCCATAACTAAAGTTTAATTATAATTTTAATATAAATTTGAATATTGGTGTATTAAATTAGAAATTCTTCAAAAATTCATCATTGGTTATTTAGCTATATAATTGACAAATTTATGTAGCTAATAGCCTATTCGTATCCTTAGTATTATATTCTGAGAATTTCGTATCGATCAAAATAGAATTGAAAAAACAGCAGTGTATTGCACCTACCTGTTTCTTCATATATTTAAGAATTTTTATTTACTAATCGGGTAATACAAAGATTATAAGGTGTAAAGGTTTCATAACAAATATCATATTCTACTAAATGAAAAGGTTTGAAACCCAACGAGTTAGTTATAAAAATTAGCTTTTGAATAGGAAGATAGCTCCTATGAATAAGCATATAACTCATCTGATTTTAAATAATAATCGGACAGGTGTACGTTGAGGGCGATTACGGTGAAATTGCAAAAGCTAATGTGCGTTGATAAAGAGGTAAGTAGTAAGAAATTAGATATGCATGTGTGAGACTTCACATTTCATCTGATTATATATTAATGTGATATCATGTAGATAATATTGTCACTACATGTATATATATATGTGTGTGCGTATGTATGTGTGAGACTTCACAATTTATGATATTTGATATATGTATTTGTCGTGTTGGTGAATTTATATATAAAAAAAAAAGGATAGATGAGCTGTTTCACCAACCTTTTTTTGGTAAATTCACTTATTTAACATACTACACACATATTGCACGATTTATTGGATATATTTTGTAGATCTATCGTTTAGTCGCCGTATGCGGTAATGCTAGGCGAGGACATCATCTGGGTTAAGATATTCGACCCTGATGTACCATAACACTTTGATGAGTGTAGACGATGGTAGTCGGACAACTGGATCACTTAGTCGCACGGTCATTCAGAGATTAGACTTATTATATAGTTTAGACGTATTTTGATAATCATTTGTGTTAGGTGTTGTTCCACTAGGGCTAGCCACTGATGAGGTCTACCGATTGTTGAGGATCATACACCAAACTCCAAACATGATCCCGTTAGGGCGCGCGAGGAGTAGAGTTCCGGGTTTTCCTTAGGTGATTTCAGGTTGCACATATTCTACTACATTACACGGGGTAAAGCTAGACAGGATCCTATCTTCATTATCACTTAAAATGGAATGTCTTGTGGTTAATGGCAAAAACGTTGGCTATCCATGTATTTGAGGTCGTATGATGGGTATATGGGAGTGACCGGATGACCGTTATATTATTATGGGTTTATCAGGTTTTTTCTTTGAGCCGAGGGTTTTCGGACTATTTATTGATGATGGTCTAGTGAGTCTGGGGCTGAGGTGATTCCAGCTGCTCACTTAGACAGATATAGGAAGCCTATTATCATAGAGCCGATATTATTCCGGCTACTCACTTTGAAATATATATATATGTATGTGCATGGTTAATTGAGTTCGACAATCATTGGTTCATTATTTCACTGTTGACATAGCATGATACTTATTTGGTGGATGACCGAGATTATATTTCATTTTAAAGTATAACATAACATATTTAATGTTAGTTTTTAAAATTGATTTAATTTTAGACTATTTTTAAGAAAATATTTGGTTCAGATATGCATGGCACGACCGGGACAGGGGGACATCTCGCGATATAGAAAGATAGACTAAGTGAGTGAACTTGTTCTTGTGTATTATATGTAATTTTCTAAGTGGAAAACCTCCTATTTGTAAATATTCATAAATCAGAGAGTATTAAATAATAAGATGTTTTTATAGTTAATTTTAGTCTTAACAATATATTATGGGACCCGAAGTAAGAGGGGACAACCTCATGATGCAGTGTGACGGTAGCATTTTCAGTATGAGCCAACTGGGTTGTTACACCTCTATTTAGGACCGCATCATGGGACGAACGATTGGAAATGGACTTGAGTTCCATAGATTGTATCACCTTGACCATCCTCCACCACCTTCGCTTCTAATCGCATGTTCCAATGCCAATTGTCCTCAACTACTACACCAACGGTCGTATCATCCGAGTCTCTCTAAGTTGCTTGTTCCAAGCCTTTCTAGTTTATCTTCATTATTTTGTGAGTCTTGTTAGTTGGGAAAACAAACTCGCATTTTGTTTCCCCGATAGGTTAATAATTGGGTTGCTATGTATTTTTCTTTAGTTCACTATGATATATGGGATCCACGTCAAACTACTTTTGTATTTGGTTTTCAGTACTTTGTTACTTTTGTTGATTATTTCTCAAGATGTACTTGGCCTTATTGATGAAAGCCCACTCTAAACTATTTTTTGTCTTTGAAATATTTTATGTTGAAATTCAAAATCAGTTTGATGTTTCTCTTAAAATACTTTAGATTGATAATACCATTGAATATTTCTCTACTCTTATGACTCATTTTATGTCATCTTATGGTATTTTATATCATTTCTCTTGTGCTTATACTCAGCAAAATGGGCTTGCTAAACGCAAAAATAGCCACCTAATTGAGACTGCTCGTACTCTGCTTGTACACCGTCAAGTTCCTTTCCAATTTTGGTTGATTTTGTTCTTACTGCATTTTATTTTATCAACCACATGCTGTCTTCGGTCCTCCATAATAAAATTTCTCTTCATATTTTGTTCCCTCAAGATCCTTTATATCATTTACACCTCTGTGTACTACCTATTCTTTTCTCTTTATCTTTACTTGTACGCCCACTTCTCCAAGTTTATAGTCGTTGTCCTTGCCCGCTAGTGTCTCATTCCGATGGATCTATCGCTTATGTTCCTCTAGCATTTTTCGACTGTCCCGGCTCTCAAGAATTTGCCATCGTATTTATTTTGTTCGGCTCTTATCCTACTGGATCCTGCAGCATTACGCCGAGGTACCATTCTTCTTATAACCTCATTTCATTTACAATTTTCTTAGTTTTCATAATTTGTCTCTCACATACTATACCTTTGTGTCAAACTTATCCTATGTCTCCCTTCCTAAATTCCTTCGTGAAGCTCTTTGTCATATAGGTTGGCGACATGCAATGGTTGATGAAATGACTGCTTTGCATACTAATGGTACTTGGGACGTGGTATCTCTGCCTTTAGGTAAGTCTTCTTTGGCTTTCCATTGGGTCTATGCAATTATGGTTGGTTCAGATGATCAAGTTGCTCGTCTCAAGGCCCATTTAGTGGCTAAGAGATTCACACAAGTCTTTGGAGAGGATTATACTGAAACCTTCTTGCATGTTACCAAAATGTCTTTCATTCGTCTACTTATTGCTTGGCTTCTATGCACTCATGGCTCTTCATCAGCTTGATATTAAGAATGCTTTTATTCATGGCAAACTTCAGGATGAAATTTATATGGAGCAACTACTTGGATTTGTTGCTCAGGGGGAGTCTGGTCTCATTTGCAAATTGCACCAGTCTTTATATGAATTGAAAAAATTTCCACTTGCGTGGTTTGGTCAATTCAACAGTATTACAAAGGAATTTGACATGATCCGAAATGCATTAGACTGTTATGTCTTTAATAAGCACACATCAAGTGGTAAATTTTAATACATGTATGTTGATGATATTGTTCTCAGTGGAAATGATCAAGAAGAGGTAACTCAGTTAAAACAACACCTATTTAAGCATTTTCAAACCAAAGATGTAGGACCACTGAAGTACTTTTTGGTATTGAGATTGCTCAATCATGTGATGGTATTATTCTTTCAAAACAAAAGTACGCATTGGATATTCTTGAAGAAACTGGTGTGTTTGACTACTAGGACCTATGGACTAAGAGAAGTCTGAGAGACGCCAATAACGAGAGTATGGGTATAAGATGAGTCTGCAGAACTGGTGCAAGATGACTGCTGAGATTTGTGATACAGAAGGAATGCAGTATAATCTGTTCCACGTAAGGAAATAGTGTTAGATGAATTTCCAAGCGAATGAGTAGCAACAACATTCGTCGTGCGAGGGGGTCATTCATCTAAGCTGAAGCAATATTGTCGTGTATGGCCCATCTTATGACAATAACTACATTTTGGACGACGTCCACTGCGATTATGACTCCCTCGT